TCTCAAGCACAATTAGGTGAATATAGTGACTGACAAATACAGCTGGAATACAGCTCTACACAGCTCCAACTTTTATACAGTATTTGGATATTTAAATATTATTAGAAAAAAGTAACTCAAACTGACACCCTCCTGATACAACAATCACAGTCCTGACACAACAATCACAGTCCTGACACCCTCCTGATACAACAATCACAGTCCTGATACAACAATCACAGTCCTGACAACACAGTCCTAACACAACACCCTCCTGACAACAATCACAGTCTTGACACCCTCCTGACAACAATCACAGTCTTGACACCCTCCTGACAACAATCACAGTCTTGACACCCTCCTGATACAACAATCACAGTCCTGACAACACAGTCCTAACACAACACCCTCCTGACAACAATCACAGTCTTGACACCCTCCTGACAACAATCACAGTCCCGACACCCTCCTGACAACAATCACAGTCTTGACACCCTCCTGACAACAATCACAGTCCCGACACCCTCCTGACAACAATCACAGTCTTGACACCCTCCTGACAACAATCACAGTCCCGACACCCTCCTGACAACAATCACAGTCTTGACACCCTCCTGACAACAATCACAGTCCTGACACCCTCCTGACAACAATCACAGTCCCGACACCCTCCTGACAACAATCACAGTCTTGACACCCTCCTGACAACAATCACAGTCTTGACACCCTCCTGACAACAATCACAGTCTTGACACCCTCCTGACAACAATCACAGTCTTGACACCCTCCTGATACAACAATCACAGTCCTGACAACACAGTCCTAACACAACACCCTCCTGACAACAATCACAGTCTTGACACCCTCCTGACAACAATCACAGTCCCGACACCCTCCTGACAACAATCACAGTCTTGACACCCTCCTGACAACAATCACAGTCCCGACACCCTCCTGACAACAATCACAGTCTTGACACCCTCCTGACAACAATCACAGTCTTGACACCCTCCTGACAACAATCACAGTCTTGACACCCTCCTGACAACAATCACAGTCTTGACACCCTCCTGACAACAATCACAGTCTTGACACCCTCCTGACAACAATCACAGTCCTGACACCCTCCTGACAACAATCACAGTCTTGACACCCTCCTGACAACAATCACAGTCTTGACACCCTCCTGACAACAATCACAGTCCTGACACCCGCCTGACAACAATCACAGTCCCGAAACCCTCCTGACAACAATCACAGTCTTGACACCCTCCTGACACAACAATCACAGTCTTGACACCCTCCTGACAACAATCACAGTCTTGACACCCTCCTGACAACAATCACAGTCCCGACATCCTCCTGACAACAATCACAGTCCTGACACCCGCCTGACAACAATCACAGTCTTGACACCCTCCTGACAACAATCACAGTCCCGACATCCTCCTGACAACAATCACAGTCCTGACACCCTCCTGACAACAATTACAGCCTTGACACCCTCCTGACAACAATCACAGTCCTGACACCCTCCTGACACAACAATCACAGTCCTGACACCCTCCTGACACAACAATCACAGTCCCGACACCCTCCTGACACAACAATCACAGTCTTGACACCCTCCTGACACAACAATCACAGTCCTGACACAACAATCACAGTCCTGACACCCGCCTGACAACAATCACAGTCCTGACACCCTCCTGACACAACAATCACAGTCCTGACACCCGCCTGACAACAATCACAGTCCTGACACCCTCCTGACACAACAATCACAGTCTTGACACCCTCCTGACACAACAATCACAGTCCTGACACCCGCCTGACAACAATCACAGTCCTGACACCCTCCTGACAACAATTACAGCCTTGACACCCTCCTGACAACAATCACAGTCCTGACACCCTCCTGACACAACAATCACAGTCCTGACACCCTCCTGACACAACAATCACAGTCTTGACACCCTCCTGATATACCATATCCAAATCACATACATTATCAATTACAAACATATATATACCCTACAATTTCCGTCTCAAACAGACCAGAGAGACTTGAACCAGCGAGACGGCGCTCCCCCACATCCCCGTCTAGACAGTCTGTCTCGAGCACTTTACCGTCATTGGGAATTATTTAAGGATCCTTAATGTCGACGTCAAGAATGTTACAGCCATTGGTGTATGTTATACCTGCGTATGGTGCGTGCAAAGGTGTATTTCACGCTGTAACTGTGTGTGTGTGTGTGTGTTCTTTTGACTGTGTTAATACAGTATACTTTTGCTAATGTTGATTTGGTGTATATCATGGCACTGCTAGAAGCAAGTATTCGCTTGCCTTGTTCGGGTTGAATGTAGACACAGTAGTCGCTTCTGTATATATTTATTGACCGAGACAGCAAGGTATATATCTGGCCAGCCGAGGTCCACCTTACTCTGGGTCTGAGAGAGAACTGAGGCTGCTGGGAGCATGGCTTGATGCTCCTCTGTCTGGCATGACGTCAGAGGCCTACTTGCCTGTGATTGGTTACATTTCAACTGACAGAATTTGCTTGCCTGTGATTGGTTACATTTCAACTGACAGAATTTGAGTATAACACCAGGGTTCAGTATACACTCAGGAAGTGCTAGGAGCAGAGATAATCTAAATGCACAGTATTAGCTCCAGCTAGAGGTAGATTTGGGTACATTCGTGTAAATTATGTCAGGCAGAGAGTATACAGTGTAGCCTAAGAATACTAACGTGCCACTATATCACGCCAGGTATACTCTAGAATAGGATAGCAGCACTCTTTCCCCCTTTATAAACACCTGTTATTGCCACATACAGATGGGCACTAAATTAGGCCAAGCAAAGAGCCTGCTCTTGAGATTACACCAGGGAAGGGGGAGAAGGGTGAGGAAGGTTGAAGGGGTGGATGAGGGGCGGGTGAGGGGCGGGTGAGGGGCGGGTGAGAGACGACACAGCTAGGGGGAGGCTAATATAACCCCTGGTGTCTGGGTGGGAGTGAGACACACAGATTAGAACAAGGTACAGGCTGCTCTAAACTGATGTGAAGGTAGGTGTGTGTGTGTGTGTGTGTGTGTGTGTGTGTGTGTGTGTGTGTGTGTGTGTGTGTGTGTGTGTGTGTGTGTGTGTGTGTGTGTGTGTGTGTGTGTGTCAGAGAAGTAAAGAATGAGGGGGAAATAAGGAGGCGGAGGAAGGACAGAAATGGAGAAAAATTCCTGTCTAAACAGGAATTATTTTTGTCCCAGCTTCCATCTAACAAGCACACTTGAACCCTCTACTTACCAAGACAAATTATATTTAAAAAAAAACGTATACAAACCACTGCCTTTAAAGCCTATTTTCCCTTATGCTATGAAAGGTGCCAGACACATTACCAACACCAGCAACAACAGCCGGAAGGATCCAACACCCCCCACCCCTTCCCCAGGGGGGGAGAGAGAGAGAGAATGAACCAAGATGCGAAACAACTTACCCAAAACTCAAGGTCGATGGTGACCGTCTCACAAGTGCCATTGTCCCTCACCACCGAGGTAGGTGTGAGGTAACGCAACATAGCGTCGCCCCTCATGGCCGCTACCACCTCCTTCGCCCACTCCTGCAGGAGGTCATGGGTCTCGGTAGGGGCGGCGCTGCTGCTGCTGGTGGCGGCTCCTCCGTCAGGAGGCGCGGCGGAGCCGTCTGGCGGGGGTGTCCATGGTGTGGCCGCCTCCCCCGTGGCTCACAGAGGGTGTGGTCCAAGGGTGTGGTGAGAGAGCAGGGCCTGACTCACCACCATCCTCACTATCACTCTCTCGACACCATCCTCTTCCTTCGCGACCACCTTAACAGTACTGAAGATTCACTTGGGTTATATTAGATTATTTTTTTTAGCTTTTAATAAGTTTTTTTCCTTTTTTATTTTTCGTTAATATTTTCAATTTCGAATGTCGAATTTTAGTTCCACATTGCCAGTCTCCTCACAGTAATGTTATCACATTATCATCACAGTTTGTGGTTTACAAACATTCAATCCAACTTAACTTTTCTAATAATAAATAAAATTACAAGTACTAAAATCAGTGGAAGTGCTCATGTTATCTTTTGCAACTTTAATTTATTTGGTACCCTATACCCATCCTGTGAGTAGTGGAGCCCCATACCCATCCTGTGAGTAGTGGAGCCCCATACCCATCCTGTGAGTAGTGGAGCCCCATACCCATCCTGTGAGTAGTGGAGCCCCCATACCCATCCTGTGAGTAGTGGAGCCCCATACCCATCCTGTGAGTAGTGGAGCCCCATACCCATCCTGTGAGTAGTGGAGCCCATACCCATCCTGTGAGCGATGGGGGGGGGGGAAAGATTACAGATATTTACATAGGGCTCAGGAACTGAACCCCAAAAAATCGTATAGGTAAACCAATTAAATAATTAATCAACCAATTACATATTAACATACACAACGATGATCTATTCACAGATTATCAAACCACAATCATCTTCAGAGATCGGAATCACTAGTGAATATGGACTCAATGACTCACAATACACTATACGAGGCTATTATGAGCCTTGACGACGTTCAAACACAAAACACTGCACAATTATCATCCTCCCAGAGTCTGTTACTATAACGTAACGAAACCAACAGTAGGAGCGGGCTGTCACGCCGGCGACATGGCCACAAAGCTGTCAGTTCTTCCCCTCACCATAAACTCAAGCCGAGGCAAAATTACCCCTTGGATGCACCCCAAACTGTCGTCACTGCATCACAGACAGCTCAAAAAATGTGAAAATGATTTCACCCAACGCCACGTTAAAGCAAATGAGACATCAACAAATTTACTCCTTGTCGCTGTAAGTCAGGCGAGATCTGGGAAGGCGTTCCAAGCCTGCCACTCAAGATGCTTGTCGGCCATAGTTAAGAAGTGTGGCCCAACCGCACCTACGAGATGTGAATAGATCCTACCATGCAACCAATAAAGCTGGAAATGCAACTGTAATCTTGGAAAGAAACAGGGCAAAAATGTGGAGGCTGCCCCCCAAGGCCAGAGACCAGGAAGCTGCCCCCCCCAAGGCCAGAGACCAGGAGGCTGCCCCCCCCCCAAGGCCAGAGACCAGGAGGCTGCCCCCAAGGCCAGAGACCAGGAGGCTGCCCCCCCCCCCCAAGGCCAGAGACCAGGAGGCTGCCCCCAAGGCCAGAGAACAGGAGGCTGCCCCCAAGGCCAGAGACCAGGAGGATGCCCCCAAGGCCAGAGACCAGGAGGCTGCCCCCAAGGCCAGAGACCAGGAGGATGCCCTCAAGGCCAGAGACCAGGAGGCTGCCCCCAAGGCCAGAGACCAGGAGGATGCCCCCAAGGCCAGAGACCAGGAGGCTGCCCCCAAGGCCAGAGACCAGGAGGCTGCCCCCAAGGCCAGAGACCAGGAGGCTGCCCCCAAGGCCAGAGACCAGGAGGCTGCCCCCAAGGCCAGAGACCAGGAGGCTGCCCCCAAGGCCAGAGACCAGGAGGATGCCCTCAAGGACAGAGACCAGGAGGATGCCCCCAAGGCCAGAGACCAGGAGGCTGCCCCCAAGGCCAGAGACCAGGAGGCTGCCCCCAAGGCCAGAGACCAGGAGGCTGCCCCCAAGGCCAGAGACCAGGAGGCTGCCCCCAAGGCCAGAGACCAGGAGGCTGCCCCCAAGGCCAGAGACCAGGAGGCTGCCCCCAAGGCCAGAGACCAGGAGGCTGCCCCCAAGGCCAGAGACCAGGAGGCTGCCCCCAAGGCCAGAGACCAGGAGGATGGGTAACTTTCAACACTGTGGAGCCGATAAAGAGTAGCGAACGACCTTCAGTGTGTCCCAACTCTCGCTCTTCCCTGAACGCTGCCGTTGATGCTAAGCCCGAGGGACAGGTGGCCTGGGACCGCACCTCAGCCCACCCTGCTTCTAACACACCGACAAGTGCATGCGCGTTTTACGGGTTCACCATAGCCCGTGCTACATGGACACTTCGTTCTGAGTAGCTAAATCTGAAACAACACAAGCATATGCATACAGGGCCTCGCGTGCGCACACGCGCGCACACACCAGCCCGTCCTCACAATTAGACCGTAAAAATGGACGGTTGTGCGACGGTCTCGCTTCTTGCAAGTCGGTGTTCAATCCCCGACTGAATGGTGCCCAAGTGGTTGGGCAGCATTCAGTCGCTTGCCCAACCGACATTCAGTCGGTTGGGTAAGCGTAACTACAGTTAAAACTAAAAAGTTATACAGAGGGCTTTTTACAAGCGATTAAATCATTATGTGACCGGAAACCCAGCCCTTCTTGGGCGATAATTGGACACCTTTTCCTGCTGGAGGTGACTCTCTAGGGCCTCTCCGGACGATGTCCTCGGCGCTGGCGTAAGATGACAGCCCGTCAGCGCTACCTTACATGTGGGAAGGTGGTGTCACCCTCCTGTAAGTCTTCCTTCTTTGTGACACAGGTCAACCTTAGTCAAGAATAAGGGAAAGCTTGGCGGAGGAGATAAGGAGTTGATGGGGTAGGGGAGGAGTGACGTGGGGGGGATGGATGGTTGGAAGGGGGGGGAATGGATGGTAGGAGGGGGGGGGAGGAAGATGGATGGTGGGAAAGATGGATATGAGGAAGAGGATAAGTAAGATGGTGGGGAAAACGTCTGGGGAAAAAATAGAGGCTCACGCCCCTAATATATTCCCCACCTCTCATACTTCCACACATCCTGATTGGTCATACTAACCCAGTCTTCCTTTCTTGTTGAGATCATAACAGTAATTGTGTGTACGTCTGATACCATACTACTTGTGTAAAGGAGGAAATGTATATGTTTATCTCTCAGAATGTTTGGTAATATGTTTATTGTTTGTGATGTGTGTCTATGTATGTATTAACACGATGTACTGAACGGGGTGAGAATACCTTGAGCTACCTCATCCCTTTGTGTGTATTTTACCTCAATAAACTTATTTCAATTTCAATTCAATCCGCGACCGTCCAAGTGGTTGGGCACCATTCCCTCCCCCTCGTTCCATCCCAAATCCTTATCCTGACCCCTTCCAAGTGCTATATAGTCGTAATGGCTTGGCGTTTCCTCCCGATAGAACATGGCGTATTGTACACGTCCAGCGCACATGAGATGTGTGTGGAGTACGCCGCACCGGTGCGGAACACTCCACATAAAACAAAAAGAAGTTGGGAGTCAGGCAGCCAGCCTTGTACCAGAACTGATAGAATTACGAGATAACCATGGGAAAGTCCTGGTACAAAGAGGCTAAGTCGAGGACCGGGCCGCGGGGACGCTAAGCCCCGAAATCATCACAAGGTGACCGCAAGGTAAGTCAGCCCATTCCTCGCCCCCCATCTGAGGGAAGGAATAGGGGGCACAACACACACACAAGTTTCTCAAGGAAGAGGACAGCAGACTTCTTAATATCACTCCTAGTTAAGTCACCCCTCGAGGTCTTGGCCTCATAATGCATCCAAAGATGACCAGTGTAGGTTACTATAACTAGCTTTTGACACTATGTAACCCTTCATATTGTCTAAGGTAGCTGCAGATATACCCAAGTATATTTAACACGAGCTTATGCCCAAAAGAGCTTAAGACTGTTGATATTTCCTTTTCATTCCGTTGAAAGCATAATACCCAATCTTGGACGGTGTTTATACTGGTAAGAGTCCGCTGTATGTGCTTCTGGGGGCTGGGTTATGTATTCAGCACCAGGCGTGACCGCGCGGGCGCCTTGGTGAGTCACGAAGACTTTTTTAAATATAAGGGAAGTGAGCAAATGGAATGGTTTGGAGGGAGAGAGAGAGAAAGAGAAGAACCATATAAGTAGATTTAAGGAACGGATAGGTTGGGAGTTCATGCATTACATAGCCAATACTGTAAGTACATTTAGGTGAGAACGTATGTACACACACACACACACACACACACACACACACACACACACACACACACACACACACACACACACACACACACACACTTAATGAACCCTCTTGGCACAGAGAAATATAATATTATTTGCTCATGCAGATGACATCACAACTTTTTTCTGTCAAATTTTGCCTGAAGTACACAGACCAAAACGTTGCTCCGCGACTGCCTGCCAGCACACACACACACACACACACACACACACACACACACACACACACACACACACACACACACACACACACACACACACACACACATCCATATATAGCAGCCGGCTCAGCACAGTGGGGGGCGAGAGTTGAGGCCTCTGTCTGGGAACTGAGGGGGGACCAAATTTTACGTCTAGTAACTAGGCGGCAACTTCAACAAGTCGACATCTTTGTCAGCGAACCTGACCCCAAATGTTTCTGTAAGAAAAGTGTGACTTTTCTTCTCTCTTCCTTCCTTTCTTCCTTCGTTCCTTCCTCTCCCGCTGTCCTTCGACCCTGTCTTCTCTCTACCTAACCCCTCCTCCCCTAACTCTTGATCAGGTAACCCCAAGGTAAATCACAATTAATCTATATACACCTGACATGTAACTTTTTCTATACATTTCGCGAAAAAAAACAAAAAGAAGATTAATTCCCTCCAAATTCTTTGTTAAATAATATCCCGGAAATCTAAATAGATATTTGAAGGAAAATGAATTCTCACCCTTACAAATCGTGCTCATCAATAATCACCGGATCAACGAGGCTGTTGCTGTTTGAGATCTCCACAACCCGGTCGGCCGAGCGGACAGCACACTGGACTTGTGTGATCCTGTGGTCCTGGGTTCGATCCCAGGCGCCGGCGAGAAACAATGGGCAGAGATTCTTTCACCCTATGTCCCTGTTACCTAGCAGTAAATTAGATACCTGGGTGTTAGTCAGCTGTCACGGGCTGCTTCCTGGGGGTGGAGGCCTGGTCGAAGACCGGGCCGCGGGGACACTAAAGCCCCGAAATCATCTCAAGATAACCTCAAGATAACCTCCCTGTCCACAAGAAAATACAGTGAAGGAAAGTATCTTCAAACGAGCAGCCTGAACACTTGTGAGGGTGAACTCAAGAGGGAGGAAATTAGCATGTGAGTGTGTGCTGTTGAAAAGTGTGTCTCGCGAGGCACTTGAGACTCGAGAGAGTGAGTCTCGTGTGTACAGAGGAGGGGGGGGGAGGGGGGGAGGGTAAAGGGGGGATGGGGGGGGGAAGCCCTCAATGGTGTACAGAGCCTCCACAGTCTTGACAATACGGCTCAACACTCCACAGAAGAGGTACAGTTCAACAGGTTAACTGGTAGGGAAGTAGGTAGGAAGATTGGAAGTACAGACTGTCAAGAAGGCAAGAGAGCAAGCACAGACTGTCAAGAGGACAAGCACAGACAGCCAGGAAGGCAGAAGAGCAAGCACAGACAGCCAGAAAGGCAAGAGAGCAAGCACAGACAGCCAGAAAGGCAAGAGAGCAAGCACAGACAGCCAGGAAGGCAGGTAGACAAAGGCACGCAGACAGCCTGCAAGGCAGACACACACGGACAGGAAGACAGGCAGGACAACGCCCTGCCCCGATACTCATTTGCCCGTTGTTTATGCAGACAGGTTACAACGCCCTCACCCCCAGCACCTGGCCTGGCTGTGAACCCCACGAAGCACGAAATACCAACACACTCACAACCCTCCCCCCCCCTCCCCCCTCCCCTCTCCCCCGGGAGCAGGAGACGAACCCCCGCACCAGGAGCATAGGACGGCACACAAGCCAAGAAGCCATGACCACTTCCTCTCAAGTAAGTAAACAAATGCGTGATTCCAAGACATTCACCCCTCGGTGTATGTATCGATAGACCGTTAATACACAAAGTCAAGATACCTGACACACACACACATGTGTTCTGGGGGGGAGGGGGAGGGGTGTGTGTCTGCCGGAACACACCTGCCTCCTGGAAACACCTGAAGGAGGTGTTTCAGACTCGCCTTGGACGCCAAGCGCCGCTTAGCTGTGTTCTGCTCTTATGAGAATATTTAGGACTTGCGTTTTCGGACTTGTTCGTGAAGGCTGTGTATCTACGCACGCATGCGCACGTACACTCACGCGCGTGCACGTACACTCACGTGCAGGTTAACCATCACATGGCCATGAAGGTATTCCAGAGTCTACGTATTGAGTAAGATATAGGGAAGGCTTGATACGTGCAGCAAAGTTCCAGAGCCTCGGTAGAGTCCGAGAGACTAGGACAAGGTAGAGTCCGAGAGCCTAGGACTAGGTAGAGTCCGAGAGCCTAGAACTAGGTAAAGTCCGAGAACCTAGGACTAGGTAGAGTCCCAGAGCCTAGAACTAGGTAGAGTCCCAGAGCCTAGAATTAGGTAGAATCCCAGAGCCTAGAATTAGGTAGAGTCCCAGAGCCTAGGACTAGGTAGAGTCCCAGAGCCTAGGACTAGGTAGAGTCCCAGAGCCTAGGACTAGGTAGAGTCCCAGAGCCTAGGACTAGGTAGAGTCCCAGAGCCTAGGACTAGGTAAAGTCCGAGAACCTAGGACTAGGTAGAGTCCCAGAGCCTAGGACTAGGTAGAGTCCCAGAGCCTAGGACTAGGTAGTCCCAGAGCCTAGGACTAGGTAGCAATAAATATAAAACTGAGGAACATTACAAAACTTGACACGGAAAGGGACCAGTGAATACACGCCGCCCCCAAATTACAACCACACGAACACACATACACACTAAAGTACACATATGTGTATTACATATACACACACCTGCAAAGAACAGTGCGAGGAGACGCCATTACCCCCCCGGCGGACAGCAGCAGGTCAAGCGAGCGAGGGCGGGGGGTTCGACAA